ATATCTGCGAGAGGTCAAATTAACATTTTTTGTAAAACCTACACTAAATTGTAATTGATTTAGGTTATAAGGAACTCAGTTCATCTCACATGAGGGGAACAGAAGTTAATAATTCTAGCTCTGAAGTTAAATAAAATTTAAGATGTGGTAAATGCAGAGTCTAGAAAACAACTGCCTGTGAAATATGTAGAAGAATTAAAAATACCACTCAGTGCTTATAACTGTAAATAGCATTTTTCATAAATGCAACATATGACATTAATTTTAGAAGAAATATGGAATAAAAATTCTGAAATACTGTACTATCATACTTAATATAATTATGGTATATAAGGAAATTCAGTACACAGTTGACTTTACATTATCTGAGCTATTTTAGGAACTTAGATATGTGTGTGGTTTCATAAAGATAGAAGATGGACTTTAAACAATGCATGTTATATTTACAGTGTGATGGTCATTTCCATATAAAGATTGAACATAATGATTTTATTTGAAATAAAAAATAATGTTTAATATCACTGAGCATATTTTCCCTAATGTTCTAAAAACCTCTATTATTGCTAGAAGTTATAGGTTAAAAGTTCTTCCAAAGCAGTTTGTGGGAAGCCCAGGCCTCCTTAGCTTCTTTGACAAGGGTGTTGACGATTTAAGGTCTCCAGCCTGCCCTGAGAGATCACTTATATCGAACAGCAGATGAAAAGCCAGTGCAGATGTAATTTATCGTCGGCGTTTCCTTCTAAAGAATAATTGTGGAGACTTGGCTAGATCAATAATATGGATTTTTGTTGTTAGGTCTTGTAGTCTGCACCATAATGAGAGATAGGGGACAGTGGCTGTTTTCTAATAGAAAATAAAGGATTGGTTTCCGTGTCTTTCTACATTTGAATGCAAAATGGCACACTTGAAAGTAATTCAAGTTGTTAAGAAAAGAACCATTTTCCATTACATTCCTGCTATCATATAAACATGGCATGTTAGCTCAACCCCGGTACAACAAATGAAATATTACCTTAAGATTTTCCTAAAAGTTTAAAGGTTGCAAATTCCAAAGTTATAATGATAAAATTGCTAATCATTGATTAAAATTACTAAACATATCCAGATAAATGTTTAAGCATATCCATATGTCAGCACAAAAAAAGAAAAAGAAAAGAAAAATTATTTCTCGATTATGGAGAATTCAACAAACATCAAGCTGCAGAGGTAGATGTGAAACATTGTATAGTAGAAGCTAGTGTCATAGAGATGGAATTGTGTGTGTTTGTGGTTGTTATATATGCGCACACATATATAAACAAGGTCACTAATTCACTAATGTGTCTGGAAGCAAATCATAGCTCTTCACCTCCTTTCTGTAGTTTAAAAAATGGGCCAAATCCTGCCATCTTTACCTAGTATTTTCAGGTATAAACTCCCATTGACTTTAGTAGGAGTTTTGTCTGAATTAGAAATGCAGGATTTGACTACAAATGAATATGAAGAATCTAGATAATAAAACATTATATAACGTGTATTAATCTGCCTATTTTAAAATAATTCCTCTGTTTTTAATATTTTGTATCAGTGTTTCAAAAGACATTAAAAAAAACAGCCAAAAATAAAACACACAATACATTTTCAAGCCTGCAAAGGTACTATGGATACTCTGAGTCCTCATTAACATACAAAGCTGCTGGTCACTCTCAAGTCTGCTCAGAGATGTTAAACACAACATGAGCTAATTTATGACAATATATATGAACTATTTCTTAGAAGGCATGGAACAGCATTTAACTTTAAAGTATGAATTTTATGCTGGAGTGGTGGGTATTGCAGCTAGTTAGAAAGATTTATATTTAAAAGTAATTAATTAATTAAATTAATATTTAATTAATTATAATTAAGCTTCCTTCTTTATAGCCCTTCTACTCCCTTCCTTTAATACTTTGATGAACTCAAGTGCTAGAGAAAAGATATTGATACAAAATTCCAAACAAGAAGAGCAGAGAGATTATAGAGGGAAATTTCTTTGTAAAAAAACAACATATTACTTCAGTAATTAATATTAATCAGTAAGATTGTGAGCTAGAATTCAGATTTTGGTTATATAATTTTAAAGTTTTGCTGGTATTAATTTGCTCCTTAAAAGGAATATATTCATGTCAAGAGGAAATGAGGGGCTGTTTTTAATTACTACTGTTTTTCTGTCTGTTGTAGTGGGTTTTGTTTGTTGGTTGGTTTTTAATTCAGTTACAATTACAAAATGGCTAGAGCTAATTCTTATATTCAGTTACCAAAAGGTATTCTGCACGTAGGATACCATTTGGAATACCTATTGCATAAGGAGCCAAATTTTCAAAAGTGAACCCTACAGTTGCAAGTCTAAATTTGTAGTGTGTAAAATATTGCTGCTTATGTTTTTGTGTGCCATAATATATGGATTTGCCTGTCCAAGCTTCATTTTAGACACTGAGGTACCTTGTATAGGTCAATGTTTTTGTGCACACACTATAGTGATAAGTTTGAGGCTACTTTTGAAATTTAGCCTGAATCATTCCAAGAGCTTGATAATTTTCTCCAGATCGAGAGCGCAGGTATCTCACATCAGGTATATTTGGTTAGGGGATAAGGAAAAGGAGAGTGCTGCCACCATAAAATCATCCACAGAGCTGATGAGAGTAGGGGACAGAGGGAATGATTGTACTGGGGCCCTGAGCTCAGGGGAGCCCCCAAAACCTCTGTAACATCTGTGTAAATAAAGTGAAATTGGAGAGGGGTAGGACCCAAGTGAACATGATATACGAGGGCCCCACATTTCTGTCGAGGGGTCAGCTCGCTGCTACTATGTGGAATCCCCTCTCTCGATGCTCCATGGGCTTGGAATTCCCATAGGGGTTTTGCCATTCTGGAGGGAGAGGGATAGGAGCTCTTGTTTGTGGCATTCTTCTCTCCATAGACAGTGGATATCCCAAAAAGTATCTCACTTATATTAATACTATCAAAGCAACATGAATTCAGGCTCTGTACCTCTCCTGAATGGAATGTTTTGCACAGATACTAATGTAGATGGCTACCAGGGGAAAAAGGAGCCAGAAAAGCAGCCTGGAGGGTCTGACCCCTAAGGACTGGGCTAGACTTCTCTGAATACTGTAGGTCTCAGTTGAGTGGGAGACAGCACCCCTTCTAATCCTTTGAGGAGCCTAAATCCCCTTTCCATTGGGAGAGTTTTAAGGAAACTGTTAGATTCCTCACATGCAGTGTCCTGACTCTTCTAATGCTTTCTCCTTGGCATTTCCGTGGGTGGGTACAATTTGGTTCCAAATTAGTAAAGTGACTAATTTGTTTTTAAAGCTATTTTATAATTGCACAGGATCTGTCCAAGGTTAAAGTTATTATTCCATCATGCCCTTCTCAATGGGTCTTATGGGATGAAACTGCCTAGTATGCTAGTACTTACTGTGTAAAAAGGCTACTGTGAAATGATAGATTGTTTTTATAGACAATGGGGCAAAATTTTAGCTGGAATAAAAATACTAAAAAATGAGCATTTACACACTTTTTACAAGTAGTGAGCCTGCCAAATCTCTCTCTAATTGTTCCGGAGGTTTGGAATGAAGAAATATCATTAAAGATGAACAATATGAGTTCTACTGCAATTTCTGTAGTAATCCCCAGACTTGTTTTCTTTATGTCATGAAAGTTTTAGAAACATAAACAGTACTGAATTGCCACTGGTACTGAATAATATGGCTTTTATTGTTGCCTGGGCTCCTCAATATATTCAAGAAAATGATTTAATTCATTTTATTAAACATAAGGTTACTAAAGAAGACCATGATCAAGTCAGTTAAAATTTCTCACTATCCTTAATTTATTAGTAAATTCAATATATTTTATTTAAGCAGAATCATATATACAGTATATTAACTTTTCCAGGCAATCTTTACTCAGCACAGAAAGGCCAGATGTATGGGAATTGTAAAAAATCAGGATATGCATAAAAACTGTTCAAGTGCATAAAGCAGCCCCATCTGGAAGACATCTAACAGAAATGAAGTTGTACAAAACCATTCCATTGATAATAAAGCTAATTTTTATGGGTCTGACAAGTATGTAATTATGTTCAGTGGTGCTTTTCAGATTTTATCACAGTCAATAAACCGCAGTGGTAATTTCATTCCCATTTGACATATTTACATGGAAACATTTGATTGGAGGAATTAGTAACCCTGAAAGCCTTGATAGATATGTTTTAATGATCTGTGACCTCCGCAGTCCCTCATCTGTTTATTGTTGCAACAGGCGAGAAGTCGTTCCTGTGTGACCTTTGTGGCTTTGCCGGCGGGACACGTCATGCCCTCACTAAGCATCGGAGGCAGCACACAGGTCGGTAAAGCTGTCTTTACCCTTTGGTATATTCTCTATAGCAAGGGAGTATCATCCAGACTGGGGAATAAAGCAAGTCAAATAGCACATTACAGCACAAATAATATATTGGTTCATTGTTTGCTTTCTCTTTTTCATTTTTGTAAAATCTCTACGCCTAGGCTGTATATCAAATGCTATTAGCTATGAGTTTGAGAAATCATCATTTTAATTTTAAAGCAAGATAAAATTGTAAAGATCAGGTGTCTTTTTTAAATTAATGCTAAGTACACTAACGACTTTTTTTAAAGGCCCAAATAGATTACACACTGCCTGAAGCTTTTGCAAGAATCTGCCTGAGGGTCCCTGAGTGAAAATTAGAGATCATATTAAGATGAATCCATTATTTTGGACTGAGACATAGTTCAAAGCCAGTGTTGTTTCAGTTGCCCTTTTGCAGTTTTAAGATGGTTTGTAATTAATAGATGCAACTTAAAGAGATACCACAAGGCTTGTATGTAAAGCAGGATTTCTCTTTCAAACTGATAAAGCTTTCATACCACCTGGTTATAAAAATTTAATATCAGATAAAATTAAATTGGGTCTCTGCTTCAGAAGACTTAAAAAAAGTATAAGTTTTAAACATTTATTAATACATTTTACCTTAATTGTGCTTTTTAGTAGTTCATTGTGTTTGATTATTTGAGTAGGTTTTGTTCAAACAGATGCAGAAGCATCACTGTTTAAACCAATGTGATTTTTATATTAGTGACTTGCATGAGGATAATATAATATCATCAAGAATAATAGTGTGTGGTTAAGTCACTATTGTCAAATGTACACTGGACAGAAATTGCTAACGAATGTATGGTTCTAATGGTTGCATTGTGAATTTTCCATGGATTTTGTATTGTGGCACTGTGTAGAATAATCCGATTCAGGACATTCACTGTCTTAAGAACAGAATTTCTCTGATAGCACTTACTCTGCTTTCCTGGAGATCCTGAAGCCATATACTCACAGCCATGATGTCAGATTATTCAACCAAGTCTGGTTGGAGGGAAGTGTGATGTTCACACAAGGGTGGGGTTTTCAGAGATTGACTGCCAACATCATGAAGTAAATTTGTTATAAAGATGAATGTACAAAGCCAAGTTCTCACCTAGTCACAACTATTCATTTTCACCGAAGTCAATGGGGTTGTTATTTCTGGGAATTAGCTTCTGTGATAGCAAAAAATTTACATATGTGAGAGGTACTGCCTCATTCATTTCCCACTTACTACAGGATGTTTATATATTTCAAGTATTTAAGATGATGCATTTAGAAAATTTTACACTGTATTCTATCAATATGTCAGTGCATCTAAATTTTAGCAGGAGCGTAGTAACTGCTGTAGTTAGTCATGTGCTTCCATTCTAACTCTCAATTCTCATTTCCTGATAACTTTATAAAATGTTCTCTGATTGGGCTGGAATTTACCAAGCCTGATCTCTTCTTGAACATTATATATACTATTATATATATATAGTATAAGCAGAAACAATTCAGTAATTTTAGAAGAGGAAAGCTGTGGGGGAAAACTGCATTACCATCCTTAACTTTGCCTCTTGTGTGAATGCTGATACTATTTCTCAAATAATGCAATATAATAGCATACATATTTTTGCAACCTTTGTACAGTTATGTAGTATCTTGCAGTATTGTGTAATACTCTGTGTTGTTGCACAGAGTTCATTAAATTCATTTATATGAAATATGTAACAGTACTTCAGTAATAGAGCTAGCATATAGACCACTTACAGACCAAATATACAGCGAAAGTTACCTTCATAGTTAGCTGCCTCATTTTCTTCATTATGCATTCTGCAAAATATGTAGTATCTGGGTGCTGATAAAAGTATTGATAGGCATAGAAAAGGTATTATATCAAGTTCCTAAGTTAATGAAGATATATCTGACCAGTATAATACTGAAAGTACTGTATATAAAGACTAACAGAAAATATTTTACAAATTCTACACATATTTATCCCGAGCTACAGAAAAAAGGTATGTCATTACATTATGTTTTTAGAGAAGTAGTATATGATCAAGAAACTAAAACAGTGGACCAGACCCTCGGAGGTTGTATATTTGTGTAGCTCTGTTGAAGTCAATGGACAAAGTTTAAGTCAATGGAGCTGCATCAGTTTAAGTCAGCTCAGGGTCTGGTCCTATAGACTAATGTATACACACAAGAGGAAGAGCTAGTGCTGCACATGCAACATAAACTTTTTAATTTATTGAGTTTTGAGTACTTAACCATGCAACCATAACCTTCTCTTAAGTTATTTGTAATACATTTATTACATTATGATGGCTAAACACATTATCCAAACTTTCCTACCATAGATGCCTAAAAGTAGGCACCTGAATCTGTCTTTAGGGAACTACATAAAAATATCCTGATTTTCAGACATCTTGACCATTAGCAGCTTTCAGTGATTTCAGGGAGAGTTTTAGGTACTCAACTTCACTGAAAATCAGTGCCCTAATATATATTTAGATGCCTAAAGTTAGGTTGAAAATATTGGCCATTATAAACAGATTTGGTCCCAGTGAAACACTTTTAATGACAATTTATTTGCTGGATGGCATCTGCCCTCCTCATGCCACCCTGGTGGAGACTTCCCTGCTATGATCTCAGGCATTTGAGGTTATAGATCATGAAGCTTGCATCCAGCAGGCATAAGTTTATATTTTATGTCAGGACTGGAGGCTCGTTATTACTTTGCTATTAACTTTATACTATACAGGACAGTATCTCAGAGACAGAAGGATCTATCTTTTTGGCATTTATCTGCCTCTGTGGCACAAACAATTGGAGATGATTCTTTAGCAGAACAATTATCTGTGTCTTCTATTTGTTTCAAAGTAAAAAGGCACAATATGCCTTTTGTTGGTGTTCTTTTTACTTATGCAGGTTCCACAATATTCTTATCCATTGCACAGCTTTATCTCAGTGCTTAGCCACATGCACCATTCTTTGTATCTATATTTCTCTTGTGCATCCCTGTTGGACACCGTTTTCTCTGCACAGAGAATAACCAAGAAAATTACAATAAGGTTTGAAAGGGATTGGAATCAAATATGGTCTACATGGCTTAAATAATTCCCTGCTGTAATACAAAGTGTCTCGGAGGGTGATACAAAACATCTCCCTATCCAAGATTTATTTTTATCACCTGTCAGAGACCCTTGATTCAAGGGCAAAGGAGCAAATACTCACATGTAGTTGAGGTGTCTTGACCACTTTAATAAGCTTCGCGTTCTCCCAGCCTCCAGGCATAAGGTGTCTTGGTATCCAGGAGGAATGTTCAGAATATCTGATAGATACCTGACACAGAGGAGGACTGGCTCTCAGACCTGTGTGTGCCTTATCACTTAGCCCTTCATTCTCTTGCTTCTGATACTTCTTATTCTATTCCTCCTCTTGGGAACAGAATTGGGCCAAACTGTGCCCTTACACTGAGAAATACCTGGCTCTTCAGATAGTGCCATTTTCTTCACTGGGATTATTTGCAGAGGAAAGTACTACTCAACATGAATATAGGATTCTGGCCCTTTGTCACTCAGAGGACAAAACATCTTCCTCAGAAGTCAGTTTGGCAAACAGAGGATCCTACTGATCACAGAATTGTTTATATTTTTAAAATGAGAAAGAGAAGGGAATAAAAAAAATGTTCATTTTAAAGAGGAAAGAAATATAATTAATCTTAAGAGGTGGTAAATGTATGCTTTCCACTTTCACTAGCATGGTGCATTGCCACACACACCTGTTTGACATAGATATGCTCAGTTGCACAGTACCATGTGTGTTAGCATGTCAGTACTGAGAGAGGGGAAAATTTTGACCCAGAAATGGTATCATTTTCTTACTAAAGAAGGATGCAACCTGTGATTTGTTGGTTGACATCTCTATTCTATGGTAAAAAAAAGTATCTAGTTAGTAAGTATACTGCTTCTCTGTAGTATGGTCTTTGAATGTAGAATGGACTATGGCTTTCACTGACCTTGACTTAATAAGGGGATGCCTGGTGGTCCACTAAGAGCTTTTCCGGCAGTTCTACAATGGATTAGCATACAAAGTTCTATAATGTGTTTCATCAGCTACATAAAGACTAATGGCCTCATTTTTTGGAAGTGCTGAGCACCCCCACTTCTGGCTAAAGGCAATGAGAACTACAGGTGCTCAGTATCTCTGAAGTTCAAGCCATAGTCTTTTCCATTATAAAGAGACCTTTTTAGAATGATGCCTCCGTCCTTGTTGAACACTTATTGGTACTTGTGGAACAAAGAAATAAATTTTATGTGTTATCAGAAACGGGTCAAAAAGCCAAGTCAGTGTTTTTAAACAGCTTTTGCTGGCTGACACAAAGCAGGACACTGATTTAATGTGGTAAATACAACCCACTTCACTGGGTTGCAGTAATGTCTATGAAGTAACGCTGCTGCTACTCCATGAGTTGGAGGGGAGGTTTCCAGCCCACCAATTGTCATGGATTCCCCCGAGCCAATGCTGTTTACTCACACTTTTGTGCAGTTGAGAGAATCTATCTCCAAGGGAAACATGGAAGTGATATTACAACTTTTAGTGACAGACTGCGTATAAAATTAGTTTCCATTAGGGCTGTCAATTAAAAAAAATCACAATTAATCCTGAGATTAAAAAAAAATAAGTCGCGATTAATTGCAATTTTAATTGCACTGTTAAACAATAAAAGAATACCAATTTCAGTTTATTATAAATATTTTTGGATGTTTGTCTACATTTTCAAATATATTTATTTCAATTACAGCACAAAATACAAAGTGTACAGTGCTTACTTTATATTATTATTTTCATTACAAATTTCACACTGTAAAAAGATAAACAAAAGAAATAGTGTTTTTCGATTTACCTCATAAAAGAACTGTAGTGCAATCTCTTTATCATGAAAGTGCAACTTACAAATGTAGATTTTTAAATTTTTTTACATA